ATTACAACAACCTTACTGTCAACATTCTAACTGCTTCCTGCCCACGTTTCAGATCACAAATACTTGAAAAGGAAAGCAAATTCTGTTTTCACACTATATAACTAAATATACATCATTCTGACTGTTGTACAGTTACAAGCACAAATACTTTATGCAGTAATCTATTACTTCACTGAAAAATCTGAGGTGTTGTTTGAATGTTTATATTTGAAGTGTCACAGTTATTATTGTCATAACTTATTGTCTCCATCACAGAGCGAGATGCCACTGGGATGTATCTGTACTATTATGATGTCCTAACTTTATTCGCCGCAGTAATCTTTGACATTTCTGGTGGGAAACTGCACGCAGGAGACAAGTGACCTCACATAGCAGACAAAAAAAACCTAAGCGAGCATTAAGAAAAAGCAGAGAGCGAAAAAGGGAAGTTTCTCACCAGCGGATGTGTGAACTCTGGGGCATGGTCGTTCTTATCTGTTATGGTAATGGTGGCAGTGGTTGTTCCTGTTAGGCCCACCTCACTTCCTGCCATGTCCTTGGCCATGATCTCTAACTCGTATGTTGTGGTTGGCAGGGTCTGGAAAGAAAAGACACAGCGAGACACAGAAAAATGTTCAGAAGTACGCAGAAGATATAAGAATGTTGTTGACAATCTATACCGACCTGAATATTCAAGAAACTATGAGTAATAACACCATGAGGTTAACGAGGAGCCATTTAAGTTGCTAACAATTGTAACATCCCTGTAAGGTCCTTTATATGCACCTTCCTGCTCAAACACAAGCGTTAAAGCTCCAGTAAACACTCGCTGCATCTCTAATGAAAGGTCAAGAGCACACATTATGTTTTTTCGCGCATCCTCCACCGCGCTCTCAGCCGTCGGACTTCGTGAAAAGACTATTTTTGTCCCTCTCATTAGTGAAATTATACTTCACACTGTGTTTGAAGTATCGCCTTGCTTTTAGACTCTCCTCTCCAGCCTTTCTGGCTATTTTTGTTGATTAGATGTTGTAGTTTAAAGAATGAGTCGATGATTAAGCCCCAAACTGAATGCACTTTAATTCAGCCTTAAAACTCTAATTAAGTCCTTCACAAGCTAGCGAGATGGCCGCGGCATTGGTTATAAAGCAGACCTCCTGAAAATAAACCAGAATAAGACATTTAATCCATTTGTGACCTGCCAGCATCTTCAATCTATACAATAATTGGAGAAATATAGCTTATAGATAGAGCGAGGGGGAGTGACACTCATAATGATCAGAGCAGCAACAATAAGTCATTGAAATAACGTCTAATAGAAATGTTAACTGCAGTGTATAAATAGCAGGGAGAAGGGCTGGTAAAGCCAACATTTACTTATTC